AACCATATTTTATTCTTTCAGTCTGGAAGGCTGTCAGAGTATGCGTTCACAACCGAAAATGTGACCTCCAGTGGACAGTAGCAGCCCCCAAAATGAGATGCAGATTCAGAGTTCCACATGAGGTGGTTATTAATTAGCAAATAATATAAATATTACAAATTTAAACAATAGGTGGACAGTTTAAATTGTAACCCCTTGTGTTAACAATACGCTTTGAAGAAATTTGCAGTTACAAACAATTTGGCTGTTTGCACCAGACGAAACTCAACAGAAATTTAAATACAGCCGATCAGAAGCACAGAATATACACTCACTGCACTTTAATGAAATGATTTATAATCTAATTAACACATATTAAACTTCTTTACCACTATTAAATGTACATTCTGAATCACTATATGTTGGTTTTGAGTCACAGCTCTAAAGTTCAATTTCAAACCGTTAATTTTATTTCCAAGACCTGGGGCCTCATGTACGAAGACTTGCGTGGAAATCTTACTAAAACATTGCGTACGCACAAAGCTGTAAATGTGCGTACGCAGAAAAAAATTCAGATGTATGAAACACTGGGTACGCCGAATCTCACGCATATTCTTTTGTACATCCGAATGAACGTGAAACTAAGCACAACATGCACGAGCACAAAACCCCTCCCTGCCTCCTCTCCCGTATGAATATGCTAATGACTCTACTTTGGCAAAACCCAAAGAAAAAGCAATGGCAAAAGCAAGCAAAAAGAGTAACTTTGAACAGAATGTGAATTGGAGGTGCTGCTTTCGGAGGTAGACCCTCAACAGCCTTAGTGGCGCAGCTCGTAAGACGCATGTCAACATGTTTTGACACGTTCGAGCATGAACTTGGTTCGAATCCAGCGTCTGATGAACTCTTTCTTCTTTTTTCCCCCGCTACATATCAGATTTTGCCTACTATTTATCACGAGAAAGACAAGTAGGAATCATTAATAAGTCTGTACATCATATTTTATTTGCACATTTAATGAATGGAAATGTTTCTGATTCACGCATGCAAATTCATCTTCAGATAGTGTCTTTATAGCAATGTGCGTGCAGTAGATAGCTCAGATTACATTGGCAAAACAGGCGACCGCTGCAAATTGTGCTTTAACGTTTAGCTGGTCAAATGTATGGTATGGAAACCTTATATACCTGCTATATGAACCCGTCTCATACAGCTGCCATTGCAAGGCTCAGACACTTTGTAGAGAGGAATTTAACACAACTGCCTCTAGGAGTTGCCAATGGAAATAAAACAGACACGCACAAAAAATCTGCGTACGCCAGCCATAAAGCTGGCGTGGAGCTGCGCACATTCCCACGTTCAGTTCATTGTTAGTAAATCCAAACGTGAGTGATTATGAGCGTGAAACCTGGCGTACGCAAAGTTTTTGTGCATACGCAGCGTTGATACATGAGGCCCCTGATGTAAACTATCTACTGCTGCTTTCAGTAGTATTGCAATAAATGTCATGTAAAATGACTTTCAAACTTACATTCTTAGCATTTAACACAGAATAAAGCACATGAGGTTTAACTGAGTTGATCCTTGTCAGTTTTCTGTTGTTCAGCTGCAAGAAATATAAGGCATTTCTAAAATATAAATTTCAGGTGTTAGTTACGATAAAAAAAATCCTATTAATATGGAAAGTATTCCTTCTATAGCATGCCATTGCTTTTATTTATACCAGGATTTAAATCAGCCTTAAAGGCTTGAAACAGTGTCGTCAGTCTGTTAACCTGTGCTTGCTTGTGTTTTGAACCAGGAGTGCAATACCTAGTTCAACCACTGGGTGTCAAACTTAAATAGTACATCTTTAATTAATGATAATTGACAATAAGTGCATAATAACCAATTCATTAAAATTCTAACAGCAAATAAAATTCAAAATAAAATAAAAAATAAAAAACACACCCTTGAGCATATGGCCCCGTCCTCAAACCATGCAATTGGTTGATCCAGCACTTATGTTAAAACTGCAGAGAGCATCTAAGTAATTCCAGAAAGAAACACAGGAATATCCAAATTATAAATCACTAAAGCCATTTGTTTAATCTAACATTATAAAAAAGGTTCTGCACATGCCCGCATGATAAAAACAACGTTTCTAGAATCTATTTAGCAGATTTTACTTGATTACACCCTGATATGCTACATCTTGAGAAGCAACACGAGCAGCTATTTCCTTAAACAGGGGCATCTGCGAACCAAATGGCAGAACATGATGAGGGATGGATCATTGAGATGAACAAGACAATATGGCGTGGAAAGAAAAGCCCAGCATATCTGATACCTCAGCCCCCTGATGGTAATCAAGAATGTCAGTCAAATAGCGATATTGAGGAAATGAAATATAACTTTTAATTGCATCCCTTCTTTCATCTTGGCTGCTTTGGCAAACGGCTGCCGCTTTTTGTCATCTCTTGGCACATTTGAATCCGCTGCTGAGTTTTGACTTTTAATCATTCAGCTCATGATTGCATGACATGATATGAACAGCAACGGATATCATCATCTGTTGTGCGAGCCAGAGATCAGCTGCGTGTCACTGAATACTTTAAGACTGTGATTCTGGTCAAAAGTAGTCCACGTGTTCACAATAAATGAGCAATTGTGTGATGCTTCAGTTTGATGATTATTCATATAAACAGGATGATTTAAAGGGCACCTATAACGCCCCTTTTTACAAGATATAATAGTGGTCTTCGGTGTCCCCAGAATGTGTCTGTGAATATTCAGCTGAAAATAAACCACAGATCATTTATTAAAACACATTTTTTTGGGGGGGTGTATGTCTAAAACAGTGCATTATGAGTATTTAGAACATCTACTATTCAATTTAAATCATCTTTATTTCTATAGTGCACTTTTACAACATAGATTGCGTCTAAGCAGTTTTAAAATAGATGTCATAGTAAGTTGAAATTGTGTCTATGGTATGTGGAACTATGATATAGTACATTTTATAAGGTTATATGGGGGCCAAAATTGTACAGCACAATCAAACAACTCGATAATTGCAGTAAATATACCAATGCAGGATTGTCAGTCATTGGCTTGTAGGTGGGGCCTAAAAATTGTGATGTCACATTTCTTACAGAATCAAAACTGCTTGTTTAATAAGGCAGTTTAGGAGTTTTTTTTTATCAGTGTATAGGACAAATGTAGGAAATATTTATCTCATTTATTTTTAGGATGTTTTATTGTGGATCTACCAATTTAATTCTGGCTTTTTTGGTGATCTTGTGGTAACTACACTATAAAAATGTTTATTAATGGATGTGAATTGCATTATGGGACCTTGATCTTTACTCTGTCAATGAAAATTCAACTCTACAGTTTAACAAAGTCACTTTTATTGACATTTTAATAATTTCAAATGATATTAGAAATAATATTTATAGAAATAAGTTTGTAGAAAATGTAGTGGCAGTTTGTTACAATGCTTTTGTACTGTAATATACACCAACCTAGACAATAAATTATTTTAAACTATTAAAAATGTTAATAAAAGTCACCTTTTCAAACTTTTCAAGGATAAAAAGGTTAAAAGAGAAGAAAGATCAAGGTCACATAATTCAATTTAAAACATAAACAAACGGTGGTAGAAACATGAGTCACAAAATACCTAAACCTACAGATATTTTTAGAGTGTATAACACAAAATGACATACTAATAAGTGCAAATCTTTGTATGTCGTTTGTCCAGATAATACAATCGATGAGTCCAGTGTTTATCTTTCCAATCCATCAAGCAAGCCAGAAGAATTGCTGTTTTTGAGATGAAGACATCTGCATGTGGTTTGTCCTACAACAGGTGAGGGCTTGGTAATGTTTTTCCCACGTAGCAAGTTCAATAAAAATGTCCATGCTGCTTTATGGATGAATATGCTGGACTTTTATACACTGGTTCAGACAGAGGAGGAGGTGCTTGGCTCTTTGTCAGTCTTCAATGTATTCCATCATACTGTGCATCTCGCATCTGACAGACACTACTGTACAAACCAGCATATAAGACAGAACACTCTATTTATATGTATAGCTGTGTCTGAAACTCTCAGTCAATGACTTCACAGGAAGTATTTGTTGGAGATTTGGAGATATAAAGTTATGCAGTTGTTTCAAAGAGGCTTCATAATGTCCAGTTAAATTTTTAAATCAAATTAAACGGAGGTCTAACAATAGCTAAGACTGGTTAAATAAATCATAAATGTAAAAATTAAATAAAAATACTAATAATATGACCTTAGACATCAATGCAATGCTGTAAAAAATTAGAAGTGATTTATTGCTTATCCTACACAAAAAAGTAACAGTAATTCAAATGTTATATGAATAAGACTAGCCATTAATAATGGCATTTAATAATAATTAAATTAAACTATAGGACTATTACCAACATAATGTTTAAATGAAATAAAAATAAACCCCTCATAAATATTATTAGTGTAAAAGAATGATGAATAATTTATCTCTGAATAACTAAAGTCACTTAATTATCTGCTGCCATCTACTGACTCAATTATAACAGTGGTGACGACATCACACTGACTCACTGGACAGCACACCGCCAGTGGTTTCTACAGATGACCTATGATGTCACTCTACACTTTTACACTGCTTTCACTATGACATTTATGTAAACACAAGTTCAAACTGTTTAAAGAAGTCCATAACTGTAAGCTCACTATCTGCATACAGATATTTGTGATAACACTGACACTCATTTAAGTTACCCTTTAAAAAGGCAAACTCTTTTAAAGTCCATGGACAACTTGGAGAAAAGGGGGCAGATGATACAGTAAGTTAACCAACTACATGACTATCCACCTTTTGCCTCTATACAGTTGATCAGTAAGTTTTACATCTTCAGAATGACTTATATACAGTGAACTTGTTAGTAATTTTACAGCCAAATCTGGACATTTATAAAGGCTGTCCACATACTTTTGCCCATAGTGTATGTAAAGAGGAAAATGTCTCACCCTCAATCATATCAAAGCTTTCTGGAGGCATACAGTGTCCAGCATGGCTCACAGCCCACACTGGATATCTCTGGAGAAACTTCTGATACAGTGTCCACATGTATGTCTTGTAGAAGCCCACCACACCTGGGTTACCTGTGCAAGGGTGAAAACATCATTTAGCCAAATTGTAGTTATTCTCACTTCAATATAAGGACAGTGAGACATTGCCGTCATACTATATATAAAGCACAAACCCAATCGTATGTTGCATGAAAGATTTGTAGAAATAAACAAAATACATTATATGAGTAAAATTATTGACTTTTCTTTATGCATAAAATCCTTAAGATGTTTAGTAAGTGTTCCATTAGGACATTTGGTAAGTTTTGTATACAGTAAACAAATCAAAACTCAATTTTGGATTGGTAATATGCATTGCTAAGAACTTAATTTGAACAACTGGCAATTTTTGTGATATTTTGAGTTTTACTGAACCCTCAGATTTTAGATATTTAAATATATGTGTCTCAGCCAAATGTTTTTTCTATCCTAACAAATCTTACATTAATGGAAGGCCTATTTATTCCACTTTTGAATTATGTATACATCTCAATTTCCAATAATTGACTCTTAAGACTGCTTTTGTGGTCCAGGGTCACATATAGTTTATTTGTATTATTATTGTGGCATATGGTTCTCCTAAAAACAAAACTAAAAAAAAAAACTAAATTGTTTAAGCAACTGGACTGCATTGTCTTGAATTCTCATTTAGACAAGAGCAGACGTGTGTTCCAGGTCTGCTGACGCAGCTCTGCTGGTTCTCCACAGATGAGGTTAACTGCGAGTGAGGGGAGATAAGGAGATAAATGGCATCTCCGATACCCAGCTGCCTCCAATCCAGAACAATGGGCACTCTGTGTGGTCACAGGGAATTCGGTCTCTCGCTGTAAAAGTATCGACGGGACGCAGCCTCACAGACCCTTTCATTTACCATGCTGTTGTATGTAGTGAAAGTGAAGTGAGATTACACATCTGAGGTGAGAATACACAAACACTTCACACTTACGTTTAAATATTAATGTTTGAAGTTTTACACAGATTGTTAAGTGTTAAAGATTCCAACATCCCTTAAAATTAACTAACTTTGGGACTATTGCAAGTTATGTAAATGTAAGTCTGAGGATGTAAAAATCAGGATAAATTGTAAACAAAACTTATTTGCTATGCTGTATTCAAACTAACAAATAAAACATAATATGCTCTGATTAACAAAGTAATGTAAAGCCTGTATTTTCCTATTATTAGTTAAATTGACCAGTTAAAAAAATCTGAATAATAAATTGTGCTCCAATTCTGATCTTAATTCTAGATTTGTGTAGAGCAGACATTGTAGAGCAAAACAGCAAATTCCTCTATTAGGCTTTGATGTCACGTGACAGACTTTTCTAAAAAACTTTTCGTAACATTTATTTAACGTTTATTTTGATGGTCCATTTGAGTATTAGTAGACTCTCTGCTTAATATCTGCTGATACTGCTCCTTCAACAGACATTTAACGAGAGGGTGCTCGCTGCAGAGCCATTTGAGGAGAGGTGAGCTCCAGAGAGGGGGAGCATGAGCTGTCGCTCCTCCTCCTGTAAGCTGTTTTAATGCGTACACCAACCCCACCCCTAACCCTACCCCCAGTGACATCACTCGTAGAAGAAGTGCAAAAAAGGTGGAGCTCAAGCTTATGCTCCCCCTCTCTGGAGCTCACCTCTCCTCAAATGGCTCTGCAGCGAGCACCACTTGCATTTAACTGACTATAAGTAACTTTGCAAGTACATGTCAGCTTATACTAACCCCAACCCTAACCCCTAACAGTCTACTTATATTAATAAGATATAATTTAATGAAAATTAGTTGGCATGTAGATACAATGTAACTTAAATTCAACAAACGGTCCATCAAAATAAAGTGTGACCAAACCTTTAGCAGAAGGCAGAAGGCATGTACGCAACATGTTTTTCAGCACAATTCATTAAGTTGATCACTTAAAAGCCTATAAAATTCATGTATCAAATAAGAAACAGTAGGCTTTCCAGTATTAAAAGAGAGCTTTCTATCGTGCCGGTCCTCACAGCAGGGGCAGTGTACATTGAGATCTGCTTCACCGATACGAGCGGCCAGGGCCAACAGCAGCCCTTCCGAGCTCTTTTCAAACTGATTAAATCCATTTGTATGTTTTTATTCATGCTGAGGGTTCCCAAATCTCTTTCATATGGGACTTGACATGCTCAAAGTCCGAACTGCTTCAAGCCAGCGTTATTAGAAATGGCAGGTTTTTCCCAACCAGTCACCACAATAAAGTCCCAGACTCTCTCGCTCCAAAGGCAGATGTAGTCAAAGAATGCACTGTCACACATGGCTTCGCAGATAGATTTCATCCATAGGGGCAGAGGAGGTGGAAGAGGAGACAAGTGCTCTAGCTTTAAACACTGCTGCACCCTTGATCTGGCTGATAATTACACAGCTTTCTCATTTTTCTGTCCACGCTGAAGGTGAAAATGCTGCACAAAGTTGAAAGCAAATGAACCACAGACCGTCTATTTCAACTTTTTTTGGAAGGACCGTAATAAGATTTTACTGTGGACAAGATTACTCAGCTTAAAGTGACACACAGAGGAACCAAGCAACCAGCTAAATGCTTGTCTCTTGATATGATGCAGATTTTAAGGACAGAAAGTCAAATTCAAGGGAAAAGTTTGTCATTGTTTATTCACATGTTCCAAACTCAAACTCACTACTTTCTCCCATGCAATGAATATTGAAGGGAACTGTGAAGCTCCATTAATGTCGGAAAAAGAGAAAAAAATACACCAATAAATAAAAGCAGGCCACAAAGATTCTGTGGTATAGCAAGTCTTTTGAAGAGGCTCTTTAACTTTAATGTGTTCAAAAAGTAACTGGCTGTCTAGTGCAGTCACAACAACCTGGAGCTCAACACGCTCAAAATAGTGGAGATGATAGTGTACTTCAGGAGAAACCCCCCTGGTCTCCCCACTGAGCATCATGGACAGCATTGTGGCAGCAGTGGAATCATTCAGGTTTCTGGGCACCATCATCTCTCAGGACCTGAATTGGGACACTCACATTGACTCCATTGTCAAAAAAGTTGACAGATAATATACGTTTCTGGTAGAATGTCCAACCTACATTTTTTCAGTCTTAAACAACAAAACAAAAGTGAACTAAATCAAAAAGAAAATAAGTTGACAAACTGAGCATCCACACCAAAGGGGTATATGCACACAAACTTTTAATTTTCAGCCAGGCAGACCAAGGGCTTCAGGTGAACATTTCATTACAAAATTGTCACGTTTAAAATCAGATTTCTTTAAAATTCAGCGATCTTTACTGCCTGTTAGATATACAATATGAAGTAGGTCTCAGACTGGACAAGAAGCACTGCATTAAATTCGTTTCCCCCCACCATGTCTTCAAAATATGACAGTTTATTTTACCCCAGTATTTTCAATGGAATTTCTGTGCTAGCCTGTTGCTACTGACAATGCCAGCGGTTACAGTGGTCTTTCATCTTGTTTTACACTTGAACAACTAAATGAAGTCTATTTAACTGAATGTATTGTAATTACATTACAACATCGATGCTGTAAAAACAACCGTGTGAAAATAGTCACATTAAGCTTTCACCGGAAGTTTATCGTTGGCTTTAAAATTCTAGCTAAGCATAGAGCCCATTGACAATATCATTCTGTTTATTGTTTATCTTATGGTCACAGTTATCATCATTATTCTGGCCCTTAACTGATTTGTTAATATCTATTTTTTGGGAGCATTAACACACATTTTTCTACTATTTTTCTGCATTGCTCCGGGTTAAGAGGCATACATCAATAAAATTTTAATGAGACACAGCGATGACTCTATTATCCCTTTTTTAGTGTGTTTGTAACACCAGAAAGGTAGAAAGTCTCCTCCTTTTTGCGTCATGTCTGTTTCATCCCTATCCATGTAAAAAAAAAATATCATAAAGCTAAAAGTGCGGCCAAAATAAAAGCGTCTGAAAGAATGCAAAGGAGGCATTCCAAGCAGAAGAAAAGGACAGAAGCATGAGCGATCCTCTCCTCTCCCACACGTTATCATTTCCCCCTCTCCCCGAGTTCATAAATTCAGGCCTGCTCACCGGGACATTAAACAGATACCCTGCCTGCTGTCTCTGACCCCAAAACTACCACACCACTGACGTAGCCCTGCAGGTGCAGAACACACACATACACACTCTTGCACACATACACACACATGCCTTTCTCGCTTAAACATACGTCCTTCTTGCTTACCAACCACACAGACTCACAAATACACACGAGGGAAGCCACTAAATCATACATAAACACCAGGAGTTATGTAGGGCCCTAGTGGATATCATAAAAATAAAATACTGAGTTCAATTTGGCAATCGGATAAAGACATGCCTTCTGGTTTAGTCAGTGAATCAGTGTCATTTTGTTTTACTGAGGAACTTTTATACTGTGAATTCGCTTTAATTTAAATTTAAACCTGATTTAATTGCCATATTTAATGTTTTGGTTGTATGTTTTTGCCATTTTTATTAGTTATACTGTAGGGTTAGGTTAATATAGTGCATTCAAAAAGTATTCATGACACTTTACTTTTTCCACATTTTTTATGTTACAGTCTTATTCCAAAATGGATCATTTGTATTTATTTCCTCAAAATCCTACACACAATACTCCATAATCACAATGTAAAAAAGATTTTTTGAAATTCATTAAAAATAAAAAAAACTGAAAAATCACATGAACATCAGTTTTTACAGCCTTTGCTCAATACTTTTATTGATGCACCTTTGCCAGCAATTCCAGCCTCAAGTCTTTTTGAATATGATGCTACAAGCTTGGCACACCTGTCTTTAGGAATGTTTGCCCATTCCTCTTAGCAGTACCTCTCGAGCTCTATCACGTTGGATAGGAAGTAACGGTGTACAGCCATTTTCAGACTTATCCAAATATGTTCAGTAGGATTTAGGTCTAGGCTCTGGCTGGGCCACTCAAGGACATTCGCCGTGTTGTTGTGAAACCACTCCATTGATATTTTAGCTGTGTGCTTTGGGACACTGTCCTTCTGGAGGA